TGCAGCCAGCATAGGCGAAGGTGGTTCAGCTGGGGAGTGACAGAGAAATGCTGGGATCCGGTGTGGATGCACCGGGCACCCCCTTAGGGCTTCTCTTCTCCACAACCTCATTAGCAACTGGAGGGAAAAACTTCACAGAGAGAAAGGAAGGCGAGGGAAATGGATGCCTGGTAAGGGAGAAGCCAGGACCGGATGAGCTGAATGGCAAGGAAGGGAGTGAAAGATAAATATGAGGGGAGTGGAGAATGTCTGAATGTTGGCAGAGCCTGCAGTGCACGCTGAACCAGAAAGACCTCTGAAGAATGAAGAAGGGAGTTCCATGTAAGAAGTTTATTCAGGAAATTATGTATAGGATCCCTGACTGGGATGGGAGGGTGATGCGGTCAGAATCCGAAGCGAGGTATTTCCTGCCCAGGGTGGCAGGTGGGGGTAAGGTCTCACGCATTCGCAGCCTAAGAGGGAGACAGGCTGGGAGCCTGTGTTACTCCATTCCTTTGTGTATGACTTAGGAGCTGTCTGCTTGGGCAGCCGGCCGTCTTTTTGGCCTAATCGGGAAGACTTGTGATAGCACTTACATTTTCATGACCGGGGAGCAGCTTCTGCTGGATTAGCAAGCAGGTGGTCAGCATCCTGCTGAGGTAGGGGAAGAGGTGCACATGGAAGAATAGGGTCAAGATGGTGTTACCATAAGAGCGTGAATGGACATTTGGACGCAGCGTGTCCTGTGTGTGCCTGCTGGCTGAAGTATTATTAATTGAATGACCACAGTGTGTCAGTGGTGCCTAGGGCTGAAGTTTTGTTTCCTAACTTTGAAGAAGGTAAAAATGCCCGGGCCCATTACCCTCTGCCCCAAGAGAACCTTCCCTGACCTCTCAGGCCCAGGAAACTACTTCTCAGAGCGACTTTCCTCCTTGTCATGGTCCTTGTCCTGTGTGTATTTATATATTTATTTTGTTATTATTTTATGCGTGCATATGTTCCCTGCTGGGCTGTCAGCTCCATTAGATCAGAAATCTGCCTTTGTTTACTGGTGTTCATAGTGTTTGCATACGTAAACACTCAAAACTGCTCATTGAAGGAATGAATGAGTCAGTGGATAGAATGCCTGCTGCATGCTTACTGTTGTATCTGTGAATTCTGCATAATCTAATGCTTTTGTTGATTCCAAGAGGAAGCCAAGATCATCTTCATTTTAAAAACACAAAAACATCTCTGAGAGATGAAATCACTTGTCCAAATGCATATATTTAAGGAACAAACTGGGATTTAATTGTAGCTTCCTTATCCTTTATGCTGTGGCTCCCAGAGAAACATAATAATTATAAGGACAATATGCTTTAAACACTTTATATATTCTGTATTACCTTTGTTGATAACCACTTTTAGATTAAAATTTTGCATAATTTACATATAAATACAATACTTACATTATTTATAGCAAAATGGGACCTGAATTAGTGAACAGCAGCTTAAAAGGGCTGTAGTATGCAGTTTTGGGTGTCAGAAAGATTGGAGAGAGGCCAGCGCTGTTGCACAATGGGTAAAGCTGCCGTCTGTGCCCATAGGGCATGCCAGGGCCACAGGTGGAGGCTTTACCTCTATACACAGTGGCAGCCCCAGTATCAGTTCTTTTTTTTTTTCTTTAAGGTTTTATTTATTTATTTGAGAGAGAGAATTACAGACAGCGAGAGGGAGACAGAGAGAAAGGTCTTCCTTCCATTGGTTCACTCCCCAGGTGGCCACAATGGCTGGAGCTGCGCTGATCCAAAGCCAGGAGCAGGCGCTTCTTCCTGGTCTCCCACATGAATGAAGGGGCCCAGGCACTTGGGCCATCTTCTACTGCTATCCCAGGCCATAGCAGAGAGCTGGATTGGAAGTGGAGCAGCCGGAACTAGAACCAGCGCCCATATGGGATGCCAGCTCTGTAGGTGGAGGATTAACCTACTGCGCCATGGCGCTGGCCTCACTGGTATCTGTTCTTAATCAGATTTGAGAGTAGTAGAGAGACAGACATTACTCAAATTGTACATTGGCTCTATGTTTGCTGCCTAATCACGTGGTCACAAATAACACAAGCCATACAGTACATGAAAGAATAAAACAAGAGGAGGTGACCTAGTTGAGGGCTTCAGAGAAGTCCTTGCTGAACTGGAAATAAAGGCTTGTGGAGCTCCAGTGAGCTGCTCACATTGCCAAGTTGATCTCCCTGCAGGTCTGCCTGACTCTATACCCCAATCCAATTCCTCGTGGCCATAGGGCTACTTCATGGCAGCCAAGGTCCTTCCTCATCCCACATGCTTCTCTAGAAGTTACTGAGCATCTAGACATTGAGCAAAGTCATGGCCAATGTTCTTCCAGCCGTATTTTTATTTATTTATTATTTATTTTTATTTTTATTGACAGGCAGAGTGGACAGTGAGAGAGAGAGAAAGGTCTTCCTTTTGCCATTGGTTCACCCTCCAATGGCCCTGCGGCCTTTGCGCTGCGGCCGGCGCACCGCGCTGATCCAATGGCAGGAGCCAGGTGCTTCTCCTGGTCTCCTATGGGGTGCAGGGCCCAAGGACTTGGGCCATCCTCCACTGCACTCCCTGGGCACAGCAGAGAGCTGGCCTGGAAGAGGGGCAACCGGGACAGAATCCGGCGCCCCGACCGGGACTAGAACCCGGTGTGCCGGTGCCGCAAGGCAGAGGATTAGCCCAGTGAGCCATGGCGCCGGCCCGTATTTGTTTTTTTGAACCACAAATGTAGGAAGTGTGACTAACTTTTGTAAGGTCCCTGAGAAATTGTCAAAGGCAAAACATCAGCCCAGAGTTCACTGGGTCCACAAAAGGGTTTTTCAGGTACAGAATAGGTCTGATGGAGTGCTAGGGAACCAGAGTATTTTATTTATTTATTTGGACAGGTAGAGATATAGACAGTGAGAGAAAGGTCTTCCTTCCATTAGTTCACTCCCCAAATGGCTGCCATGGCCGACACTGTGCCAATCCGAAGCCAGAAGCCAGGTGCTTCTTCCTGGTCTCCCATGTGGGTGCATCCTCCACTGCCCCCCCCCCCCCAGGCCACAGCAGAGAGCTGGACTGGAAGAAGAGCAACTGGAACTAGAACCCGGTGCCCATATGGGATGCTGGTGCTGCAGGCAGAGGATTAACCAAGTGAGCCACAGCGCCGGCCGTCTCTTATGTGTTCTTGTACCTGAAATAGTTGTGACATCCATGTCAGCTTCCTCAGACTAGATACCCTTCCAAGTGTTGTTAAGGAGATTCAGAGTAGTAACACAGAGAGCATACAGGCTTCCATTATAGAGACAAACACCAGGCTTGCCAGCACTGCCCTGGAGGAGAGCAGTAGGGTGTCTGGCCAGGTACTTCATGCGCTGAGGCCTGATGGTTCAAGGGGCTGCTGCACCACAGGGTCTGAAACTTTTCTCCTGATTCTTTTTTTTTGGACAGATAGAGTTAGTGAGAGAGAGAGAAAAAAAGGTCTTCCTTCCATTGGTTCACCCCCCAAATGGCCACTTACAGCTGGCGCTGCGCCAATCCGAAGCCAGGAGCCAGGTGCTTCTTCCTGGTCTCTGACACGGGTGCAGGGCCCAAGCACTTGGGCCATCCTCCACTGCACTCCCGGGCCACAGCAGAGAGCTGGCCTGGAAGAGGAGCTACTGGGACTAGAACCCGGCGCCCATATGGGATGCTGGCGCCGCAGGCAGAGGATTAGCCAAGTGAGCCATGGCGCTGGCCCCTCTCCTGATTCTTGAACTTGCCAAAGCGCTTTTAAGCCACAGGCAAAAAAAAAAAAACAAAACAAAAAAACAAAACAAAAAAAAACAGAACAAAACAAACAAACAAAAAAACACAGAGTATGAATAAGCAATCAGGCTTCAAGTTGTGAGCACCTACTGTGTGCTGCCAGCTCTCCATCAAGAAGGTGGCTGGATGTGCGGGGCGAGATGTCTGTAGCACTCTCTGCCTCTCCTCTGCCAAGAGGTCAGCTCTATCCCACGTCACTGCAGGCTTAACATTGTATTTCATAGCTTTGTCGCTTGAACTTGCTATCAGCAGGGGCCTTGCCCTCACATCCACAGATGCATTGTTCATGCAAGTGGCAAACTTGAATTCAAACATCAGGAGAGACGATCCAGAGAAAAGATGAAGATGTTCTTCTTGCATTTTCCAGATGCTATAATTATTTAGTTTTTTTTTTTTTTTTTGGTATCCTCTTATGGTCTATATGTATACAGATATATTATACACATTCATAAGCGTAGTGCCATGGATATAGATGGGTATGTTTATATCCTCCCTGGCCCCACAGTAGAACTGTACACAGCTCTCTCCACCGTTATCCCATTCCCACTGACAGTGTGATCTGGGCATATTTCATGCCATTAGCAAGAATGTACCTCATTCCATCTAATGACTGCGTGGTATTCCATTGTAAGAATGGATATGTAGAGCTGGCACCACGGCTCACTTGGCTAATCCTCCACCTGCGGTGCTGGCACCTGGGTTCTAGTCCTGGTTAGGGTGCTGGTTTCTGTCCCGGTTGCTCTTCTTCCAGTCCAGCTCTCTGTTGTGGCCCGGGAAGGCAGTGGAGGATGGCCCAGGTCCTTGGGCCCTGCACCCGCATGGGAGACTGGGAGGAAGCATCTGGCTTCTGGCTTCGGATTGGTGCAGTGTGCCAGCTGTAGCGGCCATTTGGGGACTGAATCAACGGAAGGAAGACCTTTTCTCTGTCTCTGTCTCTCTCTCACTGTCTAACTCTGCCTGTCCAAAAAAAAAAAAAAAAAAAAAGAATGGATATGTAGTTATGTTCCTTTGGAGGGACCTTTCTGGGCAGCTCTGCAGTGTCACATTCTCACCTGTCCAGAATCTCCATCATATTGCTTTGTCTTGTTTTCCATTGATCACTGGGAAAACAACTTTATATGTTTAGTACTTATCTCTGGGAGAATATGATGTCATGAGAGCAGAAATCTATGCTTGTTCTCTTTGTATCATCAGCACCTTAAATCCTGCCTGGACCACAAAATGTGCACAACAGGTGCATACTAGATGAACGAAGGAACAACCAAGAGAAGGGATGAAGAGGGTTCGGGACAGGTGAGTGATTGATCAAACATTTTCTGAAGAGAGGTTGGCCCCTGGCTGTGAGAAGGCACATGCTCTGGTGATTGAAGTGACATTTCTTTTTTTTTTTTTCAAGATTTATGATTTATTTATTTTAAAGACAGAGTTACAGAGAGAGGTAGATACAGAGAGAGGTCTTCCATCTGCTGGTTCACTACCCAAATGGCCGCGATGGCCAGAGTGAGCTGATTCAAAGCCAGGAGCCAGGAGCCAGGAGCCAGGAGCCAGGAGCCAGGAGCTTCTTCTGGGTCTCCCACGCAGCTGCAGAGGTCTAAGCACTTGGGCCATCCTCCACTGCTTTCCCAGGCCATAGTAGAGAGCTGGATTGGAAGTGGAGCAGCTGGGACTCAAACTGGCACCCATATGTGATGCTGGCTGCAGGCCAGGAGCAGCTGGGACTCAAACTGGCACCCATATGTGATGCTGGCTGCAGGCCAGGGTTTTAACCCACTGTCCACAGCGCCGGCCCTGAAATGGCATTTCTTCATTGCACAAGTGATTCCTGCTTTTCTACCTCCAGCCTCTGTCTTTTATGTCAGTGTAAAGGACATTCTTCTTCTTCTTCTTCTTTTTTTTTTTTAAAGATTTTATTTATTTACTTGACAGGTAGAGTTACAGACAGTGAGAGGGACAGACAGAGAGAAAGGTCTTCCTTCCATTGGTTCACTCCCCAGATGGCCACAATGGCCGGAGCTGTGCTGATCCGAAGCCAGGAGCCAGGAGCTTCTCCTGGTCTCCCATGGGGTGCAGGGGCCCAAGCACATGTGCCATCCTCCACTGCTATCCCAGGCCACAGCAGAGAGCTGGACTGGAAGAGGAGCAAGCGGGATTAGAACTGGTGCCCATTTGGGAGGCCAGCGCCACAGACGGAGGATTAACCTAATGCTCCAGGACAGACATTCTTATTCCATGCCTTAGTTTACCTCAAACCGGGGGGTCCTGTCGAGCTCTGCAATTTTCCAAGTACGCACGCATTTACAATACCCTAGTCAGCAGACAAATCTGGAGGTGCAGAAACATTTCCGGCATCCCCAGAGCAGAGGCTGAAATGTGACTGCTGTTGTAGTCTAACAAGAGCAATGCTTCATCTCTGAGGGCCAGGGCTCTCTGGGCCAAAGTCAGAGGGCAGAATCGACGATGCTGCACCTCTGTTCCCTTCCTAGTTAGGCACTCCCAAAGGACCTGCCCTGTCAAAAGAGTACTCATCTGAGTGCTGCACCTGTGCAGAACAGGAAGTTTAACAAGGACAGGGGAGGGACTGTGTAGTAGGAAATGGTCCTCTCCACCCCGGTTTCTAGACTAGGACACTGGAACTTGATCCTTAAGTGGTATCCTACACCTTCTGTGGGGAGCAGCTCGGACTATACTGTTACTGGAATTAAGACTTATTCTATGCATCTGCTCTCCCACAATATGGCGCTGGGAGAGAAGAAAGAGGCTTCTACACAGCTGCCTCCAGTTCAGCCAATAAACTGTAGGACTTGCTCCTGATTGGAGAGCAGCGTACTCGGCGTGTGGGCAGCCGAGTTAGGATTGGCGGAGGAGGACTATAAAGGAGGAGAGAGACGGCATGCACCAGGAACATCTAAGGGGAACATCTAAGGGGAACACCTGTGCAGCCCCCGAGAAAGCCGGCTGGCGGAGTGCCGCTCCCCTGCGGAAGTGGGGAATGTGGCAGGGGGAACCGCCCTTCCACGGAGGTGGAAGGGACAGTAGCCAACCCGGGAAGAACCAGCAGCAAACCCGGGGAGGGCCGAGCAGACGAAAGAACAGCGCAGGGTTTAGTGTCGTTCCTCCACGAAGAGGGGGAGCGACATAATGGTGCCGTGACTCGGATATGAAGCCTAGGCAGGGTTCAGTGTCGCTCCTCCACGAAGAGGGGGAGCGACATAATGGTGCCGTGACTCGGATAGGAAACCTAGGACGGATAGGAAACTTAGGAGGGAAGAAACGGGAAGAACTGGGAAAATACCGGAGAGAGAGACTAGCAAACAGCCTAGGGAGGAGCCGGACAAAAAAGGTGCCGGAAGAAGCTATTGAAAGCCTAGGCATAGACTCAGATACGGACTACGGGGGGAAGCTGGGAGAAATCTCTAAGGTCGAAAGCGAAAGTGAAAGCTAGAACAAACAGACTCGGATGTGGACTGTGGGGAGAGGCCAGGAGAAATGAGGGAGGAATATTGTTGGAAGAAAGCTTGGGGAAACATACCGAGTAGAGAAAAATGTTAGGGAAATTGAAGCCGCGGGGGGCAGGCCGAGGCGGAGACGAAAGCCACTTTGGGATTCTCAAGTTAGCCCGGGAATAGGGGGCGAAAAGTTGAAACCAGAAGCAGAAACGTAAGCCAGATTGGGATCCGTCTGATTAGCCCGGGGAGCAAAGGACGGGAAGCCAAATCGTGGGGCGGAGACGTGAGCTGGGTTGAATTCGCCAGGCTAGCCCGGGGAACTTGGATTGAATGCTAGTGGCGGAGATGTGAGCTACGCTGTGTGACTCGTGGAGGCTGCCGCGTGCAGAGAGAGCGTGCGGGGCACAAGTAGATAGGGAACGCTGGGCTAAGTGCGAGACCGTGGAGTGTGCGCACAAAGCTGAGCCGCGCAGATGAGAGAGGCGCGGGCTGAAGCAGCTCAGAGCCGGAAAGCCGCCGAGAGGCAGCCTCGGGGTGGGCGCCGGGAAGCCGCGGGGATAAGAGAAACAGAAGTTTAGAAGTAAAATGAGAGAAATAGGAATGTTGGCAGACAGAAGTAAAATGGGAGAAATAGGAATGCCCGGAGATAGAGAAATAGAGAAATAGAAAGGCCTCCCCACAATACTGCAATGAGAAGGCTTGGATTCGGTCTGCCTGATTAGTGAGGCGATGAGCACCTGCGGGCGGCTAGCAGCTTATGCGCCGCAGGTCACCGAAGACAGGCACGAATTAACATCAATAAGGCCTCCCCACAACACTGCAATGAGAAGGCTTGGATTCGGTCTGCCTGATTAGTGAGGCGATGAGCACCTGCGGGCGGCTAGCAGCTTATGTGCCGCAGGTCACCGAAGACAGGCACGAATTAACATCAATAAGGCCTCCCCACAACACAGTAATGAGAGAGCTTGGATTCGGTCTGCCTGATTAGGGCGATAAGCACCAGCAGGCGGCTCGACCAGAGTATGAGCTGCAGGTCACTGAAGATAGGCACGAATCAACACCAATAGGCCTCCCCACAATATGGCAATGAGAAAGCTTGGATTCGGTCTGCCTGATTAGGGCGGTAAGCACCAGCAGGCGGCTCGACCAGAGTATGAGCCGCAGGTCACCGAAGACAGGCACGCATCAGCGCCTAAAAACCTCCTCACAACATGGCGAAGAGAGGACCCGGATTCGGTTTGCCTGATTGATAGGACTTGTAAGAACCTGTGGCAACTCTAGCAAGTAGAGCAGAGTGTGTGCCGCGGGACACCGAAGACAGGCGTGTATCAACGCCAAAAAATAAAAAGAAAGGGGGATCTGTGGGGAGCAGCTCGGACTATACTGTTACTGGAATTAAGACTTATTCTATGCATCTGCTCTCCCACAATATGGCGCTGGGAGAGAAGAAAGAGGCTTCTACACAGCTGCCTCCAGTTCAGCCAATAAACTGTAGGACTTGCTCCTGATTGGAGAGCAGCGTACTCGGCGTGTGGGCAGCCGAGTTAGGATTGGCGGAGGAGGACTATAAAGGAGGAGAGAGACGGCATGCACCAGGAACATCTAAGGGGAACATCTAAGGGGAACACCTGTGCAGCCCCCGAGAAAGCCGGCTGGCGGAGTGCCGCTCCCCTGCGGAAGTGGGGAATGTGGCAGGGGGAACCGCCCTTCCACGGAGGTGGAAGGGACAGTAGCCAACCCGGGAAGAACCAGCAGCAAACCCGGGGAGGGCCGAGCAGACGAAAGAACAGCGCAGGGTTTAGTGTCGTTCCTCCACGAAGAGGGGGAGCGACATAATGGTGCCGTGACTCGGATATGAAGCCTAGGCAGGGTTCAGTGTCGCTCCTCCACGAAGAGGGGGAGCGACACCTTCCAGTAAAATTACTCCACGTATATTTTATAACATCTCTAACATCTTGTCATTGTAAATGTAACAAGTTTATTGTGGTTATAAGGCTGACCTGATCAGTACTTTTAAAGCAAAGCTAAAATGCACAGCTGGCCTAAATAACTCCTGAGCAGACAAAATCAACTAGGCCTCAAAAACAGCCTTGCTATTTTAAGTTTTTGCTGGTCTTAAGCAGCCAGTGAAAGTGAAACTTAGCTTGGGTCCATTCTGGTAAGAGGCTGTTAGAAGCACACACAACCTCAGTCAATCCAGAGCAGCCAGCTTGTGTGTGATAGGATTGCATGCCTAGAAGCTTTTTGCTAAGGCAGTTTGTAACCGCAACCCATCACATGCTCTATTTCACTTCCACATTTTCTCAATAACTACTTGTCTTTGATGTTTTGTCCTTGGAATACTAAATCTCTTTAGTGTTTGGTGCTTCCCAATTCATGAATTGATTTTTATAAACAATTCAGGTGTTTTTTTTTTTCTTATTTTATTTTAAAGACTGAGAGGGAAGAAAGGGGGGGGGAGAGAAAGAGAGAGAGAGAGAGAGAGAGATGCCACCCACTGGTTCACTCCACAAATGGCTGCAATAGCCAGAGCTGGGCTGATCCAGAGCCAGGAGCCAGGAGCCAGGAGCTTCTTCTGGGTCTCCCACATGGGTGTGGGGGCCCAAGCACTTGGACCATATTCCATTGCTTTTCCAGGCCATTATTTTTCTTTTCTCCTTTTCTTTTTTTTTTCTTTTTTGACAGGCAGAGTGGACAGTGAGAGAGACAGAGAGAAAGGTCTTCCTTTGCCGTTGGGTCACCCTCCAATGGCCGCCGTGGCCGGCGCGCTGCGGCAGGCGCACCGCGCTGATCCGAAGGCAGGAGCCAGATGCTTTTCCTGGTCTCTCATGGGGTGCAGGGCCCAAGCACTTGGGCCATCCTCCACTGCACTCCCTGGCCACAGCAGAGAGCTGGCCTGGAAGAGGGGCAACCGGGACAGAATCCAGCGCCCTGACCGGGACTAGAACCTGGTGTGCCGGCGCCGCTAGGCGGAGGATTAGTCTAGTGAGCCGCGGCGCCGGCTCTATTTTTTTTTTCTTGACAGGCAGAGTGGACAGTGAGAGAGAGAGACAGAGAGACAGGTCTTCCTTTGCCGTTGGTTCACCCCCCAAATGGCCACTGTGGCCGGTGCGCTGTGGCCGGCACACCTCGCTGATCTGAAGCCAGGAGCCAGGTGCTTCTCCCGGTCTCCCATGGGGTGCAGGGCCCAAGTACTTGGGCCATCCTCCACTGCACTCCCAGGCCACAGCAGAGAGCTGGACTGGAAGCGGAGCAACCGGGACAGAATCCGGTGCCCCGACAGGGACTAGAACTAGAACTAGAACTGGTGCCAGCGCCGCAGGCGGAGGATTAGCCTATTGAGCCATGGCGCCGGCCATTCTTTTCTGTTTTTAAAGATTTATTTATTTACTTGAAAGTCAGAGTTACCCAGAGAGAGAAGGAGAGGCAGAGAGAGAGGGAGAGGTCTTCCATCTGCTGGTTCACTCCCCAGATGGCTGTAATGGCTGGAGCTGCGCCGATCCGAAGCCAGGAGCCAGGAGCTTCTTCAGGGTCTCCCATGGGGGTACAGGGGCCCAAGAACTTGGACCATCTTCTACCACTTTCCCAGGCCACTAGCAGAGAGCTGGCTTGGAAGTGGAGCAGTGGGGTCTTGAACCAGCGCCCGTATGGGATGCTGGCATTACAGGCCAAGGCTTTAACCCACTACGCCACAGCACTGCCTCTCTTCTTTTATTAAAGACTGAGAGGGAAGGAAGGAGGGTGGACGGGGGAGAGGAGAGAGAGAGAGAGAGAGATTGAGATTGAGATTTTCTATCCATGGGTTCACTCTGCAAATATCTGGCTGGGCCAGGTTGAAAATAGGAGCCTGAACTTAATCAAGCTGTCCCAAGTTTGTATCTTCAACCAAACTACTTCAGTCATCACGAGTGTCTCCCAGTGTGAATATTAAGCAGGAATCTAGAATCAAGAGCAGAACTGGTCATGAACCCAGGCATTCTGAGATTGGATGTGATCATCCCAAGTGGTATCTTACCCACTACATCAGATGCCTGGCCCTATGAATTGCTTCTTATTCAAACTGCTCAACATTTTAAGCTGCCTAATTTTACTTTTTAAGTTTTATGTTTTTAAAGTTTAAGATATGATGCAAATGTAAGTTCCTGCTGAGCCCACTCTTTCATTTTGAAGTCCTGGGTAAATCCCTCTGGCACGTGAAGCTCTACGATTTACATGCTGGGCTCTCTGAGTTTCTTTTATTTATTTATTTTAGGGCCTGTGAATTCTGCCCCCACTCCCTAATGTCTGTATGACCAGCTGCTTCTCATCATTTTATTGCTTAGAGTGAGCCCCTCTTGGACATTGCAGTGTTACTTCTGAGCCACATCCCATGTCTATGCTATACTGCTGTGTATAATTTGTCTCCTGAATGTGAATACATTTTTTTTGACAGGCAGAGTGGACAGTGAGAGAGAGAGAGACAGAGAGAAAGGTCTTCCTTTTTCCGTTGCTTCACCCCCCAGATGGCCGCCACGGCCGGTGTGCTGCAGCCGGCGTGCTGCGCCAATCCAAGCCAGGAGCCAGGTGCTTCTCCTGGTCTCCCATGTGGGTGCAGGGCCCAAGAACTTGGGCCATCCTCCACTGCACTCCCGGGCCACAGCAGAGAGCTGGATTGGTAGAGGAGCAACCGGGACAGAATTCGGTGGCCCAACTGGGACTAGAACCTGGTGTGCTGGCGCCGCAGGTGGAGGATTAGCCTAGTGAGCCACAGCGTCTGCCCGTGAATACAATTTTTGTCTCCTTAAAACAATTTTGTATTTTTATTCTTTTTAAAAATATTTTAAAAATTTATTTGAAAGAGTTAGAGAGAGAGAGAGAGAGAAAGAGAGAATCTTCCACCCACTGGTTCACTCCATAAATAGCTGCAATAACCTGAGCTGGGCTGATCTGGAGGAGCCAGGAGCCAGGAGCTTCTTCTGGGTCTCCCACATGGGTGTGGGGGCCCAAGCACTTGGACCATATTCCATTGCTTTTCCAGGCCATTAGCAGGGAGTTGGATTGGAAATGGAGCAGCCAGGACTTGAACCAGCACCCATATGGGATGCTGGCACCACAGCCAACCCTGTGTCTTTATTCTTATCACAGCCCACAGTGTGGCAGCAGGAGAGTAGGAACACGTCTGCTCATTTGCATCATCACCCCCTTAGCACTGCATCTGGAACACAGAATCTGCTCAATAGACGTCTGGTGATGGATGAAGGGATGGACGAGTGACAGGAGGGTGGATGAGGACACCTGGTGGAGAGGGCTGGGGCAGGTGGGTGACTGATCCCTGGTGTCTGGGGACTGAGATGGTGCAGCCCTGAGTGGGAAGGCACACAGCATCTGGAAACTGAGGGGCGGAAGCTGCCCATTTCTTCACAGGACATTGACTTCAGCTTTGCGATACCCGACCTGTCCTTCTGTTACTGCAAGAGAGTTGGAAGTGTGAGTTCATGGCATGTCCTAAAGTCAGTGGATTCTTTAGAGCACAGGGGTTTCCCAAACCCATGTCCTTGTGCAAATCCACAAGCCCGTAAGTGGAATGCTAGGGGCAATTCTGGCGAGGGTCAGAAAGCAGGAAAAGCTAGGGAGAGTGGAACAGAGGCATTTCCTAGGTGGTGACCAGCATACTGCTGGAAATTCGCATTGTAAAAGCCGTGCCAGTGAGGCCTCAGACAGACACAGAGAACATCTTGTTGGGGACTGGAGCGGAAGTCGTCTTGCATGAAGCTACTTAAAAAAACGGAAAGGTGGAATTAAGCTAAATTTATTTTAGTGCAACACATAAAATTTAGGCTCCCAAGGGTGATCTGATACCACATCAGATCATGGAGTAAGTGGGGAAGAGAAACTTGATGAGGTATCAAGGGTGAGAGATTCAGGAGAAACTGAGTTAGGAGGGTTCCTATTAACATCGGACTCCACGAGGAAGGACTCTGAAGCCCAGTAAGGGCTTGGTTATGAAGAGGGTCCAGAGATGCCCGAGTACAGTTTGCTAAGCACAAGGTCTTTGTCAGTAGGCAGTCATCAGTGGGGCCTGCAGCTTAGCTTCAGGCAGGAGAGGAAGAAGTCTGTGCTGCTTCCTCACGCAGAATCTCATTCTTGCAGCTCACTGTCCCCCAGACTCTTAGTGCAGAGTAACAGAAGTGTCTCTGGGTCAGATTGTGCCTGACATCAGAGTGACAGAGAGAAACACATAAGATCTAGATGATTCCACACAGTTTATTGAACAGTCCACAGGCATTTCAGCTCAGCAAAGCTTGAAGGAGGTTGGGGAGTGGTGATTGTCGCTCCCCCTCTTCGTGGAGGAACGACACTAAGCCCTGCCTAGGCTTCATATCCGAGTCACGGCACCATTATGTCGCTCCCCCTCTTCGTGGAGGAACGACACAGGACCCTGCGCTGTTCTTTGGTCTGCTTGGCCCTTCCCGGGTTTGCTGCTGGTTCTTCCCGGGTTGGCTACTGTCCCTTCCACTTCCGTGGAAGGGCAGTTCCCCCTGGCCACATTCCCCACTTCCGCAGGGGAGCGGCACACCGCCGGCCGGCTCTCTCGGGGGCTGCACAGGTGTTCCCCTTAGATGTTCCCGTTAGATGTTCCTGGTGCATGCCGTCTCTCTCCTCCCTTATAGTCTTCCTCCGCCAATCCTAACTCGGCTGCCCACACGCCGAGTACGCTGCTCTCCTCCAATCAGGAGCAGGTCCTACAGTTTATTGGCTGAACTGGAGGCAGCTGTGTAGAAGCTGTTTTCTCCTCTCCCAGCGCCATATTGTGGGAGAGCAGATGCATAGAATAAGTCTTAATTCCAGTAACTTAGTCTAGTCCGAGTTGCTCCCAGTTGCTCCCCACAGTGATGAGGACAGACGGTGCTATCCAGGGTGGCGGGATGGGATTCGGGCTATCGTGGAGCTTGGCAGATGAGGGGTGGCACAGGAACTACACTGTCCCATCTAAGTGAACTGGAACTATTGGGAATACAGGAGAATCGTTCGGAGATTTGTGGGCACAAGCAATTACATAGGATTTATTTTTTGTTAACTTTCTATATGTGCAAAGCCTGTAGTTCTTTGCATTTCTGGTCAGGATACAGTCTGTCAAAGGTACCCGGCGTGAGCTCTGATGGCAATTTGTCCTGGAGCTTCTCAGGCAGCGCATATTTGGGGTGTGAACACAAGTACCCACAGCATCACTGAAAGTTATATTAAGAAAAGTGTTCTTGCCTTTGCAGTGTCCTGTGTAACTGTTTACTACCCGCATTGCACTGCCACATACAATGCTGTTGGCCATTTTTATGTGCTGAATTGCAAACCACTGAGCTGGGGTTAAATTAGGAGGGATGGCCTGGAATGACACAGCTGTTCCTAAGATCCCCAGCAACAGCAAGAGACATAGTTGGAAATTGTCCAGCTTTGAAGCCATGTTTCCCGTAAGAAGAGAAGTGACCATGCGGATCCTGGCCTAGCTATGACACATTCTTTGTGGCTCATGCTGTAGGCCCCTCTGCTGTCACTCTGGGTCATATATCCAATTCCCTTCCCATCCCCAACGTGTACCACGTCTCCTGGGCACTGACTTCAGCTCACCCTTCCCTCAGTTGCTGGCCTGTGGCTCCCCTCCTTGTCCCAGTAACTTACCCAGTCTCTGTGCAGAAGCTCCTGTGAGAACAGACCCAGTGGTTGTCCTGAGGCTCAAGGGCAGCTGCTTCCCCCCACATGGGACTGTATATATGGAGCAGCCTAGGAGTGGGGCTGGCAGAGCAAGCAGGTGTCTGAGTCTTGCCCATGCAGAAACCCACAGATTGGCTTATGTCCCACTTGTGCAATCAGTCTTTTTGTTTGTCAGTTGGCCCCCAACAGACATCCAAATTTGGTAACATCCTGCTTCCCCCCACACAAATGTTCTCCACCTCCTCACCATTCTGGCTGGAAACTTGAGCTATGAATTCGCTTGTGCTCAAAATTCTGCAGATAATAAATCATCTTTGAACACATCTTCAAGGTGATTTTTTCCTGTTCCACTTGCATTTCATTCACTTTGTCCTGCTTAAGTCTGGCCTCCAATATTGCTTCTATTTTCTGTAAAATCACATGACTGGGAGCATCCAGAGGAAAATCATTTTGTGAAATCTGCCAGAGGACGGACATGCGGAGTCGAGTGCAGGTCCACCCTGGGCTCAGTTCTCTGTGCTGTTTTCTACCAAGTCATCAGTGTTGGGGTGGCTGTGCTCCTTCCTATTCAGTTTCACTGTGTGATATTACAGAAGAATGAATCTAGATTTACAAAAAATCGACCTTTATGGGTAGTGTGCTGTGCTCCTAGAAGTATGAAAGTCATGAGTGTAGCTGGATACATGAAACCTATATTATTTCTTGCTCCTCAGAGAAGCAGGGGGAAACAGTTATAGACACATAATTTTATCTCAGTGTGACAGGGATAATACTACTGTGTGAATATTTGTAAAACAATTTTTACCAATTTGATAGAGTATCTTTTATTTATTTGTTTATTTTTATTTTATTTGAGAGGTTGTGAGCTGGAGAGCAAGAGCGAGAGCGAGAGCGAGAGAGAGAGAGAGAGAGAATGCCTCTCAGGGTCTGCATTAACAGGAAGCTGAATTCAGAATCCACAGCTATGTATCAAACTCAGACACCCTGACATGGAACATGTGTGTGTTAACCAGCATCTTAAGCGCTAGGCCAAACACCAGTCCAGTGTATGGACAAGGTTTTGTGAGCACTAAGGATAAAGGAACTTACTTGGGCTGGCTGGACAAGGAGAACTTCCAGAAGAAAGGTCCCCTTGAACTGGCCATCATAAAAGGTAGATAGGGTTTTCAGAGACTTTAAGGAGTACGTGAGCTGTCCAGTGCAAGGGGATGGTGTGGGGAATTGTATAGAGTGGGGAAGGTCAGTGGGAGGTTGGAGGGTTGAGACTGCGCGCTAAGAGATGGTAAATCTTGGGTTTACCTTCTAGTTTAGGAAACTGGAATTAGACCTTTGAATGGTATACATTTTTCCACACAATTTTCCAACAGGTTAATTGACATTTTACATTTTATATTGCTGTCATCTGCAAATGCAATATTTGACCACCAATATTTTAAGAAAATGTGGATACAACATTGACCTGGTCAGGATTTAATGTAGAGCTTACGGTGTTCTACAAGTTTTTTTTTTTTTTTTCATGTATATTGTTTGAAGTCATTTTTATAAGGGGTGAAGATGTAAAGATAAATTAAACACAAAATATCCCCTCTGTGCACTTGATAGCTATACTCATGTGTCTATAATATGATGCAAAAACATATAATTCAGTCACAGGGGTGTATGGGGCTCAGAAAAATCAGTTCGGAGCAGCATTTATAGTGTCACTTATAATATGTGGTTTGGATGTCAATTTAAGAAGCCCACATGAAATTGACATTCCTGTCTCATCTTACAAAATCGTGTGATGGTGACTGCCACACTGAGACTCCGTCACTGTAGCCTCTCACTTAGAGCTGAGCAGTGGCCACCTCTGTGGCAGGGGACACCAGCTCAGGAGTCTTTCCTGCCTCCACTCCTCCCTCCCCACCCTCATCCTGTCCACTCAGTGAGGCCACCTGTCTAGATCCTGCAGGTATTTGTGTTTATGACCATCAGACTTGCTACAGTGGCCTAAGAAATGGCTCATATCACACTTGCCCTATTCACAAGCGTAGCCTTCCTTTAAAATTCTGTTGAGCATGCCCCCTAAGATTTTTTTTTTCTCCATGTGCTTGTTTTCTCTGCATATTTTCATCTCACCTCTCGTGCCTCCACGATTAGCACAAATGATCCAGTTTTACATTTAAGAACTTTGGGAGAAGACCTCTTAATATGAAGCAGGAGCAAATATAAGTCTACTTTAATCAAAATACACGATACATTTGGGTAAAATGTAACTTTGTCATAATTTGCTTTTTTTTTTTTTTAAGATTTTTTATTTATTTATTTGACAGGTAGAGTTACAGACAGTAGAGAGAGAGAGAGACAGAGAGAAAGGTCTTCCATCTGCTGGTTTACTCCCCAAATGGCCGCAATGGCCGAGCTGCGCTGATCCGAAGCCAGGAGCCAGGTGCTTCTCCTGGTCTCCCATGCTGGTGCAGGGGCCCAAGCACTTGGGCCATCCTCAACTTCCTTCCCGGGCCACAGCAGAGAGCTGGACTGGAAGAGGGGCAACCGGGACTAGAACCGGTACCCAATATGGGATGCTGGTGCCTCAGGCGGAGGGTTAACCTAGTGCGCCATAGCGCTGGCCCCATAATTTGCTTTTAACAGACAAAAGCTACACCTTGACACACAAATGGCCAACAAACACTTGAGAAAATTCTCAGTATTGCTAGTCATCAGGGAAATGCAAATGAAAATTACAATGAGATATTATCTCACTCCAGTTAGAGAGGATATTATAAAAAACAAAAAACAAAAACAAAAACAAAAGTGCTGGCAAGGCTAAAGAGAAAAGGAAACCTTAATAGACTTGGTGGAAAAAAAATTTTTTTTGACAGGCAGAGTGAACAGTGAGAGAGAGAGACAGAGAGAAAGGTCTTCCTTTGCCGTTGGTTCACCCTTCATTGGCCGCCGCGGCCAGCACGCTGCGGCCGGTGCATCGCGCTGATCCAAAGGCAGGAGCCAGGTGCTTCTCCTGGTCTCCCATGCGGGTGCAGGGCCCAAGGACTTGGGCCATCCTCCACTGCACTCCTGGGCCATAGCAGATAGCTGGCCTGGAAGAGGGGCAACCGGAACAGAATCCGGTGCCCCAACCGGGACTAGAACCTGGTGTGCCGGCGCCGGCCGCAAGGTGGAGGATTAGCCTATTGAGCCACGGCGCCGGCCTTGGTGGAAATTTAAACTAGGACAGCCACTATGGAAAACAGTATGGAGGCTTTTAAAAAATCTAAAACTAGATCTACCATATGACCCAGCTATCCCACTTCTGGGAATATATCCAAAGGAAATGTAGTCAGCAGACCAACATTCCCATGATTATTGCAGCACCATTTGCAATTGCAAAGATATGGAATCACCTCCACTGTCCATCAGTGGATGAATGGATAAAGAAAATATGGTATACGTACCAAATGTGATATTACTCAGCCATAAAAAGAATGAAATTGTGGCATTTGTAACAAAGTAGATGAAATTAGAGGTCATTATGCTAAGTAAAGTAAGCCAGATATAGAAAAATACGTTATCTCTCATATGTGGAAGTCAGAAATACAAATATATATTTATTTATATAAAGTAAAAAGTAGACATCATATTATTTGGGATGAAGGTAGTGATAAATGTTTTCTTCAGTAAATTATACCGTTACAAAATAATGCACCGGTGCCGGTGCAGTGGCACAATAGGTTAATCCTCTGCCTGCAGTGCTGGCATCCCATATGGGCACTGGTTCTAGTCCCGGCTGCTCCTCTTCCAATCCAGCCACACCCACATGGGAGACCGGGAATAGGCGCCTGGCTCCTGGCTTTGGATGGGCGCAGCTTCAGCCGTTGTGGCCAATTGGGAGTGAAACAACAGAAGGAAGACCTGTCTCTCCCTCTCACTGTTTGTAACTCTACCTCTCAAATAAATAAATAAATAATCTTAAAAAAAAATACGCTTTTTCCCTCATTTCATAATGTTTGTATATCCACCCTTGCTTTCTTTGTGAAAAAAATAAAATGCCATTACAAAAAAATGTGAGAAATTCTTACCATTTAATTCAAAATATTTAGTTCCACTTTTAAAAGGTTTTATTTATTTATTTGAAAGGCAGAGTGATGTCGGGGGGTGTGGAGAGAGGGAGAGAGAGATCTTTTAGCTGCTGATTCATTTTCTACATGGCCCAACAACCAGGTCTGGGCCAGGTCAAAGCCAGGAGCCAGAAACTCCATCCAGGTCTCCTACATGGGCGGCAGGGGCCCGAGCACTTGAACCATCATCCCCTGCCTTCCCAGGTGTATTCGCAGGAAGCTGAATAGGAATGGACCATCTGGAACTTGACTTATGCTCCAATATGGAATGCTGGTGTGGCAAGCACTGCTGCAACACTGGCTCCATAGGTCCATTCTAACAAGAAGAGTATTGGTGAGAGTAAAATGAAGGAATTTGAAAAAGAAAAAAGAAAAAACCAATCCTTTTGGGCTCTTTGTTGTTTTATTACTATGTTTTCCCTTGCAACCTAATGTAGCAGCACATGTGCAGACCTTATTTGCACTTCTACTGAGAGGAATAGCTGAAATTATGTCCTAGAATTGTCATTTTTTAAAATCAATGAACATTGTAAGATATTTTCTGAGGAAAAGACATCTGCATCTATGGTTAAAAACCACTGTGTAGTACACCAGCCTCAGGATTGGTCAACACCTCCCTTAAACAGAGCCTGTGTGCAAAAATAGAATGTGCAACACTTGCCATTTCTTAAGCCCCAGGGTACTTGGGCAATGTCTGCCTTGAACCTGCTGATAGGGAGATGCCAATGGTCAATAATCTCACACATGCAGCTTTCCTCATGCAGAAGCTGTCTCTGAAAGCAACAGTGCACACAATTTACAGGACAGTCACAATCCCAAGGTACAAGTTCTTCAATTAAATGCAGAGAATGGGATGGGATTTAACTCAGTTAGATAGCTTGGCTATCCATCAATTTTGGTTTCGGGAAGTTGGTCCTGTGCTTTCCCCATATTTGTTATAGGACCTCCTACATATCTCCCCTGAAGGGCATTGAACAAAAGCAGATCTTGATCCTGAAAGATGAATGGGCTGAGCCTT